ACTCCCACCCACACCCACACCCACACCCACACCCACACCCACACCCACACCCACACTCACACTCACACCCACACCCACACCCACACCCTTGAAGCTGACAGCATCTGTCGCGGAAGACCGTGTCACAAATCAACGAACTACCGATCTATCTCGATCACAAGTCGATATAGAAGTAAACGAAAACGCAAAAGGGTCTTCAAACACTTCTGTTCTACTACAAAATAATGCCGTCGGTGAATTGCCACAAAGGAATGCCCTACTTAATACTGAATCAAAAAACTTCTGTGGCCTCTCTTCAAGGAAAGATGAAGATTCAAAAATCATCGATACTATAAACTCAGAATCGAACATGAAAAATCTGTGTTCGGTGGCATCCTCATGTGTACAACCTAAACAAGAAGAATCAACGTTTTCTAAAGCACAAGCCGCATTAAGTGGTGATGTTTCATCTTCAACTCGTCCAGAAAAATTAGCAAACACTTACCAACATTTTACAACGAAGGTTAGTGAAATTGGTGCAAAATCGACTCGCGATTCTATTACAATTCACACTATTACTGAGACATTCAACCAGATAAATATTCTTTTATGCGGTGCATCACGAGTTGGAAAGAGCACTCTCATCAATGCCATATGTGAAAAACAATTAGCTAAAACAAGTGCTGGACTTCGTGCCTGCACAAACAGAATCTCTCCCTATTTCCTTAAAGGCACGGTTAAAATTGACTCTGGAACGGTAAACTATCAATACAATTTTTGGGACACTCCGGGCATTGAGACACGGAGTTCAGAAGAAATTCGAAAAACCTTAGAAGGTATCAAGCAAAAGTCAAAATCCGATATACTATGCATGGTATATTGTGCATCGCCCGGTTCCCACGCAAAACTTGAACAAATAGAACGGCTATTAAAAGAATGTATGGATCAACATATATTTTGCGCTCTTGTATGTACAAACAAATACGCAGGAAGTGACCAACAGCTCCGCGGTGTAATGGAAGATTTTCAAGAGTTACTGAAGAAGCACCACGACAAACCTCGAGAAGAAAATGGTGTTATCTTTTTTGGAAATAAGGGTTTGCTCACAGCAGTTAATAGTGAAAGATTTGTGAATTCAAGCCAAAACCTCACAATTGAGGCATCGGGCATTGACGAACTTATTTCAGGCATTATGGAATCACTCGACGATGAAAAATTAGTGCAGTGGTGTACGTTAGCTCTTGAGAACAAAAAATTTTGGAAAAATTTGTCTAATTATCCGACACAGTTGAAAACAGCATTCAACAAACTACTCCTTAAAAAATAAGTTTAGAAAAAAAATCACACGTATTCGTTTGTGAAAATCAATATAAATCCTTATCGGGGTTTATTCAGAGTACGGGTGTGGTTGTGGGTTTGTATGCGGCTGTGGGTATGGTGCCAATATAAATTCTGTCAGAGCCCCACCCACAGCCACAGTCACACCTAGGGTGTGGATGTTGGTGTAGATGTGAGTGGGTGTAGGTGTGGGTGGGTGTAGGTGTGGGTGGGTTCGTGTTCATGTGAGTGTGAGCTATGGATGTTCATCCTCTGTTGACTAATATTCACACCCACACCCTCTCGTATCATTCGATTAGTCATAGAGTCAAAAACTATCTGATCAGACCTTTAAGCAAGGTAGAAATGCCGATCTTAGGTAAACTTTGACACTCACATCCCACAGTCACAGGCACACCCACTCACAACCACACCCACTCGCACCCATATCCACTCAAACCCATACCCACACGCACTCACAACCACACCCACCGACGCCCACGTCCACGCCCACGCCCACACCCACACACCCACTTCCATACTCAAACTTCACACCCACGTCCCACACCTACATCCACATCCACACGCACACCCACACCTACACACACCCCACACCCACACTCCACACACACACGCACACCCACCTACATCCACACCCTGAAGAATACAATCAGAGTATCAAATATATGTATGTAATCCCTATGCCATAGTATGATATTATAGAAGGGCTTTGCGCTCTTTCAGAACAATTATTCTGTAGTTTTTATGTTCTGACATTTATCATTCGAACCTAGGAAGATACGAAATTAAAGAGATTTTTAAAGACTAACTGATTTGTTTTAATGTGAGTGAACTTGTTATGAGATGAGATTATAGGGTACAATTATTTTATATAAATGATGATTGATGATATCATATGCTGTAAGCAAGTGACATACACTAAAAGGAAAAATTCAATAGTCACTAGCTATTAGTCCAACTTGCCTTTACTTGAGACATACCAAAAGTAGTGGTAGCCGCGTCTCAATTTCCTATAGAAGACTTGAGGAAATTTTCTTTTTTATGCAATAATAGGAATAATGATGCTCTATGTTTCCATGCTATTTTATCTCTACGCAATTAATTTCATATTTATAAAATGTTGACAATGAGCTGTTTGGCATGATATGTAACCATTTTATGGGAGCTCGTGAGTTTATTTTTGAATAAGTTTTGATAGAAACATGATAGAAAACTGTGGTTTTTATCTTTGAAAATAGGAGGTGAAGACAGATCGAATCATCTATATTAGGTTTTTCTCATTTCATTTCTGCAGTCGTTGTATTCCATTTTCCAATTGACAGAAAAAGACTTTTTTTTGATAAAAAATAGAAACAGAGAAACAATTTACTCAGAAATCGTATTAGAGGTTCGACTAGAATACATATTGTGCCAGAATAATTAAATGTAAACATGTGAGATTTTCACATTTTGTAAATCTTCGGTTGGCGGTTTGAATGCAAATCTTATCACTGAAAATTCACTGCAAACAACTTACGGGATGGGTTTGTTCATGAAAAGATTAACTGAAGATCTTACAAAAAAAACAGATCAGGACACTGTAATGTTTTATTCGATGCATCTTCATCTCCTCTTTTCCAACAATGAAAACTACAGTCTTCTATCCTGTTTCTATCAAAACTTATTCAAAAAATATTCACGAACCTTCCTATGACGGCTACATATCCTACTAAACAGTTCATTGTAAAAATTTTATAATTATGATATTAGATGAGTATGGGTGTAGGGCATGGGTATAGCGTGGTTGTCATTGAAGAAAAGACCAGCCGTTATACACCACACGCGTACCTGCGCACACACCCACATCACCACACCCGACACCTTATTTGGTATTCAGAATTATTAGTTTTTGATTTTTCTTCACATATAAAATTTTAAGGTAAAGGAAGTTCGAGACAATGGATCATTTTTACTAATATTTAGTTTAAACTTTTGAACGAAACGTGCAATACTGTTAATTTCCGCACAAATCATCTTCTACTTGTGACGTTTTCGATAACTGTTTCGTCTTGGATTGACTCTTCCAAGTGCATTTGCCGTCAATACACGCGAAGTGTTTCCATTTGGCGATGTATCCACTTCCAAGGCATATATTTCCTTTTGTTGTTTAACAAGGCGTAAAAGACTTTTAATTTCACGTGCAAAATCAGCACAAACGTCAATCTGATGAAAGTTAGTGGTGACGAATTGACCAAGCGGCAGTTGAAGAAATAAACCGTTCTCCGTGGTGCTTATTGATAATGTAGCAATTTGACCACTTTCATTAATATGTATTTTACATATTAATATTATTGACCAAGTATGGTTCATATAAGAATAATTCAAAACGTCGTAGTTTTTACGTTCGGTGAGTACTTGTTCTTCATCAACCCACTGTGAGTTGCCATTTGCGGACCATGAGTAATTTTTGTTATCTAATATGAACTTCGTTTTAGCTAGAGAAAATATTTTGGCAGCATACTCAAATAGATCGAGATGGCGGAATTTGGGTTTCGCATCGACTTGAAATGTGTTTTTGCTTCTATTGTTATTGTTGCTGTTATTGTTCAATAAAATCAGGTTTTTTGATATAGCGTCAAGTGATTCCTCCTGATGAGCGCCATTTGAATCAAGAAGCTGGCGTATTATTTGGAAGTGTGCTTCTAATTGCGCAACTGTCCATTGCTTTTTGGGAAACTGAAAACCTTTTTCAAATGTGAACACAAGATAATGATACAACTGTTTTTCAGTATCCGTTTTGTTGGCAATATTCGCACCTAGAAATGTAAGAAAATGGTTTTGATTGATAACTCTTATTTCAAATCATATTTTCCTCACTAGATGGTAGCTGGAATGCTTCCTTGATTTTCTTAATGATACTATCGTTGGCAGCTCTTTTGTGGTGTGGTGCTAACCCTTCATCATCCCTTTGTTTTACATATTCGTTATTTGTAATCAGCCAAAATAAGATAGAGCAAACATTGGACGTATCAATAGTTGAACTACGACGGTCAAATAACAGATCGTATTTTTCAAAATCTGGCAATTTGTTCCAATTTTTTGCTTCTAGTTGTGGAACACGATAGTAAGCATTTCCCAATGGTTCTCCTAGATTTGTTCGCTCATAATTTTTCATGGCATCATCAAACCTTGACCAATCAATTTCTTCTTCAGTCTCGATGTACGCTAGCCCAAAATCAATAATATAAATTTGTACATCTTCAATTGGACAGTCTTCTTTGGCATCAACCATCAAATTTATGTGTTTCAAATCACGATGAACTATTCCACGTGAGTGAATTTGTTTAACGATTGAAAGCAACTGCTGCGCTAGTTTTATTGCTGCTGGTAAACTAATTGTACCATCTTGTCTAAGTCTTGACATAATGAATTCCCTTAATGTAATACCTGGAATATACTTCATTATTGTCCAAAATTGTCTGTCAGATCTGACTGCTTCCTCTTCTGTTAGTGGAACGTTAGTATTGATATCAGAATCAGTCTCTAGTTGGCTTACGTTGTCAATGCCTAGAGTTTAATCAAAGAAATATAACACAATGAAAATCTAATGCTTCGCCGCTATACCTTTGAGTTTCACTAAAGCCATCAATTCACGATGTGCTCGCCATCTCTTCACCTTCGTGTCTTTTTTATAAACTTTAATTGCTGCACGACGATTTACGTTGGTTTTATCACGTATTATAGCTACTTCACCTTGTCCTCCTTCATCACCTGATTGCCCGATTACTTCCCATTTTTCCGGCACATCGGGAGGTAAAATGAAAGCTAAACGAAAAATGGTTCGAATTCTGATTGTAAATTCTACGCTGTTCTTGCAATAGTGAGATATAGACTGTTTCTATTACCCATGTAAAAATTTTTACCCAAAAAAGTGACTATTAAGTACTTCCAATAGTAGGTTTTAAGCAGGACAAAGTACTTATAAGTGAATCTTTTTAAGTACTTTTCATACTTTTTGACTAAAAAGTACTGTTAAGTACTTTTGAAAGTAGGAAAAGTATGAGGAATTACTATAGAAAGTGGAAAAATTATCAAAAAGTACTATAAAAAGTGAAAAATAGTAAGAAAAGTTACTTTGTTTTACTTTATTACTATTAAAAGTGATAAAAAGTGACTTTTGGTTCACTTTTCTTTTACATGGGTAGCGGATTACTCTATGGACACTTCTATGAGATGGAACGTAGAGCTTTTGCCATCAGCTTGAGGATATTAGCAATGACTACTAATACTTCTATGTGACAATGGTTACTGACACCCCCTGCTATCTTTGAATTGCAGCAAAATCTTTTGGAAAGTTATGTGCAACGTTCTTCCGGTTTAGTGCGTCGGTTAACATTGGAAACAAATTGTCAGATAAGATGCTGCCTAGCCCAAGCGTTTTCATTTCATTACAGATGACTAGAATGACTAGTGGTCTGCTTGTAAGTTCTTCTTAAGCACTCAAGATAACCTCTGACTTTTATCGTGTGAAGAGGCTGAATCAATAGTGTTAGAGCCAGAGCTCCTAACAGGGGGTGGGGGGTTTCTTGTCCACGAGACGAAAGTTTTAAAACTTCTTTCTGCAGCACGGAACAGAAGGACAACTTTTTAAGACGAGACGGTGCAGAAGAATTTAATCATTCCATCGGACATCGTTCTGTTTGAAAAAAGCAGTTTTAATTCCTTTTTTGATCAAAACATTTGTAAAGCTTTTCCTCAGCTTACTTTAAATTTGTACATCAATTGAGAAAAAAGCAGCAAAACCACAAATATTCTTTGGAATTTTCATTTTCGAATTTTTTTCGACAAATCTGATATAACGAAATTCATCAGAACGATGGATGAAAACTTTTGAAGCGTCGGAACAGGATACGATGTTCTTTGGGATTTTATCGAACAAAAGGAATTTTTGTCTCGTTTCGTCTCGTTAGGAGACTTAGTTAGAGCTGCGCATCTTTCGCTTACTACTTCAAGCTAATTTTCTATAAGACGCAAAGATATTCTTGACCAAACACACAAACGCCCTCTCAGAGCTGGCAAAAAGTGAAGCATTAACTTCAAAATCTGCTCCATTCGAAAGAGCATAGAATTTTGCGTTAGAATATACATATTTTTCTTTGTTGATGACAACATATTTATGTGATGGTCGAGATTGTAATAGTCAAGCGACCGTGATCAACTAGCTTTCATATTTTCTTAACCATGTCAAAAAATATCGAGCTGGAATTTCATCAACTAAGTTGTGAGGTATTTCGAGTTGATTGACGAAAGCTTTAGATACATAGAACTTTCCTATCGTGCACACGATGATTTTTCAAGATTGTTATAAAAGAGAAATTAGCCTTCTTGCATTACGTTTTTCTTTTCATAATGTAAAGACAAGTCCGTATCTAGAACCTGAATATTTATTTGGTTTAATCGCTTTTCGATCTCTCTAGAACAAAGTCTTTTGATTTTGTGAACTGTTTTCATAAGCTGCGCAAGAGGGTTGTTGGAATTCAGAGTAGTGCACGATTTCTCATATTTTTGCCTGTCGTAAAGAACGTCTCCTGGGGCAGCATAGATTATGCTAAGTTTAGGCTTTGCCTTTTGAATTGAACCTATATCAGTGAATATCACGTTGTTTCAGAAAGCTTGTTGTCATCTTTAATTTCCGCCATAGTTTTTTTGTAAACCCAGTTGTCTAACAAATTCCAAATTTATATAAATCTTTGAGCAACAGATATTTTCAAAGCCTACAGAGTTGTGAGTAACACGTGCATTTCTCAGATTTTTCATCATCGTTAGGAGACAGGTCCCAGAAAATATCAATGAAGGTCATTTTCGCTGACAAAATCTCAAAGTGCTCTAGAATTCCAGTGCTCGGTAATGAACTAGGCGTGTTTCGTTATTTTTGTGGCTAGAGGCAGAAATCTTGCAGGTTATACGAAGTTAATCTACCGTTCGTAATAATTTCTTTGCGAAAACGTGTGGTAAATCTGACTGTCGCTGGAAATTCTTAAAAACCAGTAGGTTTTCAAAACTATTTTCGAAGCCATCTACACTTTTGTGTAGCATAGTCTTATTTACTGGAATATGGAAAATTCGAAAAGCAGAGTCCCGTTCAACCAAATCGCTATTGTTCTAAAAATCCCAGTTAGAAGCAATATAGACGCGGGATACTTTACACTGGATTTCAACAAGCTCTCCCACACGGCTACCAGAAATTATTTAAAAGCCGAAAGATGTTGTTAAAAGTACATCGAGTTGAGGTACATTTAGCGGATTCGTGTAAATGCTTGGAGAGTATTAATCAATTTAGGCTGAGCTACCCCAAAATATGAAAACATGTAAATTGTCGTTTTTCTTATCTTGAAGTGAGAATTTCATCCAATTCACCCTTAATCAAAAAACTCTTCTTATTGTATTCTATCATCATCTCTGAGCAAACTCGAGCAGTTTTCCGATAGAAATGTTGAGTCTATAAGGGTCTAGAGATGACTAGAAATGCTTATAATGTGCATTTCCCTCTTGCTTCTGTGACATCTCGTGGTCGAGTCAACAGCCATTATGAAAAAAAGTAGAGTCATGCCAGTGATTTTTCAGATTACTTCTTTTAGCATCTAGTGGAAAAACCTCATCTGTACCTCTTCTAGTTTCATTTAGCACTTACGTTGCGAGGTGGTCGTTGGAGCCCGCACAATATTAAATGCAGGTGCCCAGATATTTCGAGCACGGCTATCTTCATCGTTCTGAACAGATCTTGGCTCTTCATTGGCATCTGCACAAGGTCGCTCAACAGTTGCATCAAACACTTCTCGTATTTCTTCATTACTGCTTGATTCTCTGTGGTTGAGTTTAATTGAAAGTAACGGAACACTTTTGCTTGCATCCGATTTTACTCCGGCAAGGTCTGCTGCTGGATTCTTTTGGTTTTGATCCATTTGTGGGGTACCTTTTTCGCCACAGTTCCACTTTAAGTTGTTCGGCGTCTTTTCTATCGCGACGGATGTTTTTTGAAAATCTAATTGTGATCTGTTTTTGGCATGATTCGAATTAAGAGGAAGCTGTGGATTCTCTAAAATCCAGAAAAAGAGTTTGTCAATACACATGTTAAGGCCTGTCTGTGAAGTTACTTTCGTAAACAGACTGAGCATGCTATCACGGTGAAAAGAAAAATGTGTCAGCGTCGTAAATAAGGAAGGCACCTGTTTTTTATGCTGTGTTACATTGATAAGGAAAATATGCTGACCAAACCCATTACAAATCTTCAGTTCATGAAACAGAGTCCGAATTCATGATTAAGTAGGATACCCAGCTTAGCCAACATTACTCTTCTATGAGAATTATCTACTTCGAGAAAGTATCATACACGACATAATTTCGCTGTAGCAGTAGTCGAAGAAATATCGAGGCGTAAAGAAATGTAACGAAAAGATTTGCTGATCTGAGTCTTTTACGGTACGATAGAGGTGAGTGACAACTTCAAAACGCACGCTTTCAATGAACTTTTTGATGAGGCTGAGCCTTTAAAGTATTAATTTGTAAAAAAAAATGTCACAATTAATTGGTTATACGTCGATAGTTTCCGCTTTTCTTCCGATTTAAAACTATGATATGTTAGTCGGATAACAAGCAACCTAGCTGCAACTTTCACTGATTGCGATTTGCAGTGCTAGTCTTTCGAAAATGCCAGTTCTAAAACATTTTGTTAACATGGAGGCATAAAACTATGATTTCAAGCGAATAAAACGTCATTTACAACTTTTGGGACTAAGCGTTCACATTGTTAAGCTTAGGAAATTCGAAAGCGTTTTGAAAGATGCACCGTATCGAGAGTGATAAGAATCTGTATCAAGAATTCGAAACTGAGCTCTCAGTCGTGACATAACACGGAAAATATAAATCTGACAAAAAAGCAGCTGCTTGACGCTAATGTTCTATTAATGAGATGTTTCTATCACTCACGAGGGAACTGCCCGAGGTGCCCAACGCCGGTTTCCTTCATTCATAGATCGCTTAATCCATCAAACGATCTATGAAGGGTGGGGTGGATGTGGGTGTAGGTGTGGGTGCGTGTGTGGGTGTGGGTGTGGGTGTGGTGTGTGGATGTGTGGGTGTGGGTGTGGGTGTGTGGGCGTGGGTGTGTGGGTGTGGGTTTGGTTGTGAATGTGGGTTCAGTGTGCGTTTGGGTCTGGGTAGTTCTTTTCTTTCCCCGCACCAACACTGACATACATCCATCCACATCCCGCATCCCACCCACATCCATACCCACACCCACATCCGCATCCGCATCCGCATCCACACCCACACCATTGGTCATGTAAGAACTTATACAAGAAAAATTGAGTTTCTGCCTCCGAATCTAGTTAAGGAATCCTTCTAAAGGCACTTTCGGTTAGTGTAACTGTGCAACTGGGATAAACACATTTTCTGTACTTTATTTTATGGAGTCATTCTTCAAGTTCGAACCAAGACCTATTCCTGTATGAAATTGAAATTGCTAAATTTGAACTATTGGCTCAGATTCTTGTAAGCTCATTCGCAAGGCAAAATCTGTGAAAACAAGTTTTTGAACTAAGAGTAACTTAAGCCTCGTCTAAGAGTTAAGTCCAGAGTTTAATCCTAAGGCAAAAACACGAGTTATTTTAGTTAACGTTTTACATCATTAAGCAGGAGAACTGGAGAATCAACCTTGTATCCAATCCCAAGGGTAACAAACAATCAACGCGAAGCATAGGTTGTTGCATATATAACTGCGAGTGTATCGTTTCTCTTTCATATAGATATGCCATAAAACTTTGATTAATCCAGCTATGCAGAGCAATAAAGAATCTACACTCACTTTGATTGTGGTGAGACACTGCGAGATGACCTTCACTAGCACTTTTTGGTTCAACAAGAACTGGATCACTTGAAGTTGCTGAATATTTTTGAAGAGAAAGTGTATATTCATCAATTCGATGAGGAATATCAAGTAGAGCTTTGTCAACTGAATCATAGCTAAATGATAAAAGAAAAATAAGTTAATCATCATGACATGCATCTTTCATGCTTTGTACAATCAATCATGCATCACTTACTCTTCAAAAGTGATCAGTGCAAAATTTCCATGTCTAACCACACGGTTAACTTTACCATAGTATCTAAAATACTCTTCCAATTTCTTCTCGAATGATAAGCCAGTTGGTATTGGACTAACGTGGAGTGTGCAGATGTCTCTCATGTTTTTTAAATCTTTCAATCCTGGAACTCTCCGATAAACTGTTATTGGGTATTTATTTTCAATTAGATGAGGGCGATTTTCCATCAGAGTATCAACCGAACTTGCATGTGAATATTCTGCCATAGCATGACGACCTGCCAAAACAAAAACACAAAATGACCTTTTATCGGTTTCCGTTCGTTGTGACTACACTTGCCTATCTGTAAACTGTGCCAATACCTCCCAAACGTGCTTGAAAATCTACGAGCATTAGACGAACGCAATTAG